CTCCGGAGAGTAGACTGTGGCCCTGGACCAAGCTACCCCCACTGCAAGTTCCCAGCAGCTCCAGAGCAGCCCCCTGCCCTGCCCTGCCCTGCCCTGCCCCGCACCCTGCCAGCATGGCGGGAGCCAATCTCCATGGCAACCCCAGCCTTGCACTATCACAGTGCAGCTGCAGCTGGGTCTCCATGAAGAGCCATGCGGGCAGGGGCTCCTGGGAAACTGAATCTGGCTGCCACCTGGATCTGCCATTTTGCCCACCCCTACACTAGAAGGATCTAGGTTACTATTGTTATGCAGATGTTGCACATAACAAAGCAGAAGACAAGAGCCATCTATGAGTGATCAGCAGAGCAGATGAGCAAAGTTATTGCCACACATGCACATGAATCCCAGTAGCGCTTGAGCAGACTAAAGACAGACTGTCCCAGGGCAGGAAAAGTCAGGTTTCTTTCCTGCATGAGAAACATTAGGGGTGGGTGAAGTGGGTCCTATTTGATTTGGATTTGGCCCGAATCAGGGACAGTGATTCGATTAGTTGATTCGGATCACTGACCCTGATTTGATTCAGCTGAATCCAAATCTAAAGATTTGATGCTGATTCAGAGAATCAGCGATTCAGACACAGACACAGCTTTAAATGTTTTTTCTACGTACCTCGAGGTACTAGCGCAGCTTGTGAATGCTGTGATGCTGGGCCGCATGGATCGTCCCACAGTCGTGTGGGGGGGCCTCCACATGTTCAGCAGTGAACCTGGAACACTTTCAGGTCTGTCTGGGAGTGCATGGGGGGGGCCCACCACACCCCCTGGCTCAGTGATCAGCCACAGGGGTGCCTCCCCAGACCCAGGAGGCACCAGTCATCAAGCCGAGGAGAAGGGGCGGCCCCCCCCGGTGTGCTCCCTGGTGGATCCGGAAGTGGACCAGAAGTGCTTCTTGTCCACTTCCAAGTCTGCCGCTGAGCACGCTGGGGAGCCCTCAGCACTTCTGTGGGACCCAGCGCTCCATGGGACCCAGCATTGCAGCACTCACGAGTCGCTAGCTACCTAGAGGTATGTAGAAAAAACATTTAAAGCTGTGTCTATGTCCAAATCTCCGAATCTTTCCAAATCTCTCTGAATCGATTCGGAGTGTTCGATTTGATTCGGAGAGATTAAAGGGTCCTTTGATTTGATTCGGTTTTGGAAATTCAGCCACTGAATCAGGCCAAATCTCCGCTGAATTGAATCAGGGACTCAAGCTTTGCGCAGCCCTAAGAAACATGATTCTCATGTATTCTGAGGCTCTTTGATATCACATTTATATTCATTAGAGTCTTGCTATCTTACAGCAGTGGTATATCCCTGGGAGCCTGAGGCTGGACACATCTCACCCCTGAGTCTGCTGGTACTCAGTTAGGTGAGAAGTTTCCTGGTGCACCATCTCCAGGCTTGCCCCTAATGCCCACTTTCAGGTCTGCCAAGACACACTGCTGTAGTGTTATAAACAGTGTGATCCTGGAGCGATGTGAAGGAGCCACGGAGGCAGGCCCGAGCCTGATTCTCCATTCTCTTACCCTAGGTGTACTGCACTGTATCTAGCTGGTGCCACACTTGGTTTACTCTGATGTAACTCAGCGGCCTCTAATTTATTTATTGCCAACCAGAGATGTGGGCAAATTTTCTGGAAAATTTTCCAGTGCTTTATTTTTCTGTGGGAAATTTTCCATTTCTAAAAATTCATTGTTTCATAAAATTCATAAGTAGCAATGAATGTATGCCAATACAATGTTAGGCAAGCTTCGTAGTTTCAAAGTTGTAATTAATGTTTTTCAGGTGATTATCCCTAGGAAGTGTGAGAGAGAGTACATATATGTTTTATTGATTTGTAAACAGGAGGGTAAATACTTCCATACTCACATAATAATCCAAACCAAAAATCACCTAATTGGCTGTGCAGGTCAAATCAAAACCAAAGCTAAAATTCATATTTCATCTCAGACTGCAAGTGAAACCAAAACCAAAAGTAAAACTAGGATTCATTTTTGTTTCGCTTTCAGTTCAGTGAACACACAGAGCAGTGTCTCATTTCTTTTCTTGAGTTGAGGAAGCTGGAAATGCTTGCATAAGATCTGTTAGTTTTCTAGTGCTTTTGCTTTGAAGTAGTCATAATAATGCCTAATCAGAAAAAAACTAGTGTGTGGCATCATTATAGTGAAGTTCAAGTCATTGAAGGAAGGAAGAAAGTTGGTAGATGTAAGTATTGCAGGCAGGAGTATGCTAGCAATGCGGCAAGAATGAAGAAACATTTAATAACATGTAGAAACTGTCCTGAAAGAGTACAAGCCATATACAGAAAACTAATACCACAAAGTGGTAGAACAACATAATCTGAGAAAAGTCTACTTCAGGAAATTGTATGTAAGTAAACAAATTAATATGTTAAACAAACACACAGTATAGACTAGCAGCTATATTGTTTTAAAACATTATAATTTTAAAAGTTGTTAATGCAACTCTGGACTATTATTTATTTATTTATTTAAAATATTTGTATCCTGCTTTTCTGCTTGCACTAAGCACCCAAAGTGGCTTAGGCTTAACAATATATATATTTTTAAATTACACAATAGCTAAACAGTTAACTATTTCAACGCAGCAGAATGAACTTAGTCCTCTGGCTGATGGCAGAGGCCAGACTATCCTTCCCTTTGGCTCTGCAGTCCCAGGGCAACTGAGCAGCAAGTTGAGCAGTAGAGTGCTCTTGCTGGCAGGGAGGGGGGAAGCAAGCTCCCTGCTGCTTCTCTTTCCCCTTCTGATGGATAAGGTCAGACTAGAATAGGCTAAAATAAAAATATTTCCCCACTTTTGCTGCAGGAATTTGGTAGCTCAAGTGAGATAGCAGATTTTCAAAAAATGGGAAATGAAAATGTTGAGCTGCCAGGTCTGGGGGAAGCAGCAGCAGGATTCTTGCTTTCAAGATCACTGTCACCAGATATGTGATCCACCAGGAGTAGCTGTTCAAGACAGACAAGCTTTTTATCAAGCGTATGGACAAAATGGCAAAAGCAAATCAAGAAAAAGCAGATGAGACATTAGCTTGAATTATATTTGCAAGTGGTACACCTCTTTCTGTAACTGAAAATCAATACTGTAAGGAACATTACAAACTAATTCGGCCATCATATAAGTTACCGCCATGTTATCACTTATTCTTACATTCTCTCTTAGACAGAGAGTATGACAGTTCAAATAATGGTTATTCAACAGATTGGTCAAGCAGAATCATTGACTGATGTCAGATGGATGGACTGATATACAAAGAAATCCTTTATTGAAAATTATGTTAGCAACACCTGAACCAATATTTCTGAAAGCAATTGCTACCAAATTTTCTCATCATGCAGGTGGATACATAGCCAAATTACTGAGTGAAGAGATTGGAAGCGCAGGTCCTTCCAGGGTACAAGCCCTTCTAACTGATAATCCGAGTTACATGAAAGCTGCATGACAAATATTAAAGGCAAATTATCCTCATTTAATAGTATTTGGCTGTCTTGCTCATCGGTTCAATCTTCTGATAAAAGACATAGTAAATGTGAATACAATGAAGACAATACTGGCAAACTGCAAAGCAATTGTGAAGGTATTTGACAATCATCATGTTGCTAATCAGACTTTGAAGAAATTACAGAAAGAGAAGCAGGGGAAGGAAAGTGCACTTTTATTGCCAAGAGCAACTAGATGGGGCACGGCAACAAAGTGTTTACACAGTTTGCTGCACACAAAGACATGTTTGCAGCGTGCTTCAATAGATGACATGGTATCCCAGGTCATTTCTGTGAACATTCAGAAGCAGATTCTTGACAACGATGTGCTCTGGGTTTGAGTTCAAGGAGCATTCAATTTGCTACTACCAGTTTCAGTGGTTATCAAGAAACTTGAAGGAGGTACACTAAGCTTTTCAAATATTCAAGAGGTATTCAGACAACTGAATGAAAATCTAACTGAGTTTTTCCTTCTTCACCTCTATGCAGAAAAGAAGTAAAACAAATGTTTCCTAAGAGATGAGTTTCACTCTCATCTAGTTCATCTGGCAGCAAACCTTTTGGCTCCTCAACACAGAGGACAACATTTATCAGAAGATGAATTATCTACTGCTTTTGATACAGTTATGGAAGTAGCTAAGAATGTACCCAATAGGGCTGTGCAAAGCTTCGGTCACTGATTTGACTCGGTAGTAATTCAGCCTGACTCGGCGGCCAAATCTCAGAATCCGTATTGAATCAGGAGACCCTTTAATCTCTCCGAAGCAAATTGGAGAGATTCAGAGAGATTTGATGATTTGGACACAGACACAGCTTTAAATGTTTTTTCTACATATCTCAAGGTACCAAGTGGCTCGTGAACACAGATAGTGGGGCAGATGCAGCGTCCCACGGGAGCATGGGGTGGGGGGAGAAGGGGGCTCCCCAGTGCGCCTGTCAGTGTACCTAAGAATGTTCTGGGTCTGCCGGGGAGTGCACGGGCAACCCCCTCCCAGCTCGGCAACTGGTGTCTCCTGGGTCTGGGGGGGCACCTGGGGTCCCCCCATAACCAGTTGCAGAGCCCAGGAGGTGTGTGGGGGGGCTGCCGCTGAGCATAAGGGGGACCCTCCCGCACTCCTGTGGGACACTCCATCTGCCCCACCATCGCAGCGTTCATGAGCCATGCCTGGTGCCTCAAGGTATGTAGAAAAAACATTTAAAGCAGTGTCTATGGCCAAATTACTGATTCTCTGAATCAGCATCAAATCTTCAGATTTGGATTCGGCTGAATTGAATCAGGACAGTGATCTGAATCAATGAATTGAATCACTGTCTCCAATTCGGGCAAATCCAAATCCAATACAGCCTGTTTTGCACACCCCTAGTACCCAACATCAATGAAATAGTCATGATGACAGACATTGCCGGATACCATGCAAAAATAAAACTTTGGAGCAAAGACATAATTTGGCGGGCAGCAGAGACTATGTCTCCTCTCACATGGTGGAAAGGATACTGTAGCACCCGACTTGTTCAGGATTGCTCTAAAGATCCTAAGTATGCCATGAACAGCAGCTTCTTGTGAATGGGAGGTCTCTTCTAGCGCCTCCTGGCTTCTAGCCTGGGCCACTGCAGGCATGTGGCTGCATTTCTGGGATGTCTGCAGTTACAAGCTGATTCAGCGTAGCCAGATTAGATTAACCTGCAAAGATTGAATCAATTCAGGCTCAGGCTTTTTGAAAGTCTGTCCCTAGCCATGGAGTTCAGCAGACTCTGAATTAGTGCCTTTGTGTATGCCCTGAGCTGCCTCCACCGAGAGGACAAACTTAAAGCTGTTCCCCCCTGCAGCAATGTACACCCAGGGAGGAATGGGGTGAGACAGCCTTCTCAGAGGTAAATTCTGTAGAACACAAGGCAGGGAGTGAAAGCCAACAGGCAGGCATTACTCTCTAAAAAAGAGTTTCTGAATCTATCCCCCAAAGCCTCATAGCAGAGAGAGAAGAAAATCATATTGACATATTATTTCTCTTTTGGCACAAGTCCTTATTCTCTCCTCCCAAGGTGCTGTTTAAGGGGCTGTTTTGTAAAGCAAGTTTCCTAGTCATCAATCTCCCTGGAGCTGCTTGCAAGCACTACCTTCATGTTAATGTACCATAACAATCTTTTCCCTTTCCTTTTAGCCAATGAACAGTGAAGGTGTGTAAACAGGAGGTGAGGAGGTCATTGGCTCACGGAGCTAGGGATAGGACATATGCTTTGCATTGCTTTGAATGCTTTTAAACAAAAATCCTGTGCCTTTGGGGATATTCTTATTCTATACTCTGGCTTTCCTCCACACCCTTCTCTTTCCAGTTAAATTAGTTTCTCCATTCTCAATACAGGATTTCACTCCTACTGAGAATGATGCAATTCAGCAGTGACTTTCAAAAAAATAGGGTTCTACTATGTGTAAATGAGATTAAAATCAGACCTTAAGTAAAATAAGCTAACTAGAAGAGCCTTTTAAATATCAGATCCACAGCTTTCCAAATAACCCCACTAGCATTTTCAAAGGAATCTCACAACCTACAGCTAGGTATATTAAAAAACATAAAAGTATAATTTTAAGCACGTGCTTAAGTCCCCCTGAAGTGAACGGGATTTAAGTAGATGTATAACGCATGTGCTTGCAGACTTAGTATGCACTTCGGTGTTATCCTAAACCTGAGCTCAGGGTTAGTGATATTTTTAAAGCAATTAGAACTCCAGTGTTGCCAATGCCAAACATTCAAAAGTCTGGAGACAGCCCCATTGCTCCACCAAGATCGTTTGGAGGTCAAGGCATTTTAAATAATACACATGAGTTCTTTATTCATCTTCCGGTTCAGGATATACATTTGCAGGCTACGTTCTGCAATCCAGCTGAAAAGAAAGTTTCATTGAAGATTACCAGGCAAGCTCAAATCCAAACATGATGACATGAGAACAAGCACCAGAGCTTTAAAGGAACCTATGAAACAGATCTGCAGTGAAACTGCAAGAGATGGCAATACTGGAACTGCAGGGGAACTTCCCTTTCCTGGCGAAGTACCAGTTTCTACTGAATGCCTGCAAGGGAGAAGCTAGGCACTTCATCTCAAGCTTTTATTCTTCGCAACTCTAGGGACAGCATTTCTTCAGGCCTGAAAAGAGGCATGAAGTTGCATGAAGGCTCATTGCCTATTTAGATAGCAGGAGCAGCAACTAGATGTTCTAAAGAGCTTACTGTGTTAGCTGTCAAATCAATGAAATAACAACTGGTTAGATCCAAACAATTCTCTCCCCTTCCCCCTGCAATACCCCCAATGAAATGAATCCCACTCAGAATTTCATTTTGTTTGATGTGAAACATACTCTTCAAACTTAAATACTGCATGTACTCGAATCTAAGTCAACCCTGAATTAAAGACAGTCCCCCAATAATTAGATTCTAGATACGGAAATTTATAAACGTATTATAATTGTCTAAGGATAGAACCTAATTATCAGAGGGTTGTCTTAAATTTGTGCCTCCCGCTCCACTGCTATAGCAGGGAAAGCAGTGGCTGGGAGGGTGAGGGGGTCGGGTGGCTGGGGGAGTCAGATGCTGTCCCTTGCCCTCTGCCCCCACTTCTTCCCTCTGCAGCCTTCCTGCCCCCCACCACCTGCACCCCCCACCCTTAGCTCCCCACAATCTCTGCCCCTTTCTCCCACCCCCAGTCTCTGCCTCTTCCCCTCCCCATGCCCCCTGACTGTCAGACACTGCTCAGGCTCTGTTCCCTCCTGAAGCACAGCATGTGGAAGTGCAGCTCCTGCCAGCCATGCAGCAGTGTCAGTGCTGCTTATTGGCTGAGTAGGGGGCATAAATGACTGGTGCCTCCTGAATCTGGGGGGACACCCTCAGAAGCTGCCGACAGCGGTGGCCCTGTTAAGGGGGGAACCAGCCCTGCCAACATCGGTGTCAGCCATCAGGGGGAGCGCTGGCCCTGTCATGGGGCACGTGTACCCCCTATTAGTTGCCTATGGTAGGGGGCAGAATTCCATGTGCTTTGTGCCCAGGAGGGAATCCAGCCTGAGGCAGAGCTGAGCTACACCTGACAGTAATGAGGGAAGGGGGTGAGAAGAAGCTGCAAAGGGCAAGAAGCAGGGGAGGGGCAGGAGGATGCCATGGGTGCCCTCTGTATGTGAATCTAAGATAAGCGCTTCCCCCCACAGGCTGATTTGGGGGGAGGAGGAGGTGCTCATTTTAGATCTGAGTAAATATGGTAAAACATTATATGTCAGGTACCTGAAAAAAGTAAGGGAAAAGAAGGTATAGATAAACAAAACAGACGGAGAAGGAGATGGTGTCCTCATTTTATCTTAACTTTAGCAAGGCTTTTGATAGTTGCCCACAACATTCTTTCAAGCAAGGTAACAAAGTACAGGTTG